AATGACAATCTAAAAATTGTAAATACAGTTTTCTTTAGGGGGGCAGTTGCCCCCTGCCGCCCCCTCTCCTCCGCTGTGTAAGGCCCAGGGTGACATCGATTGCAAATCCCACTTCCACACTTGATTAGGTTCAGAATTTGAATCTCGCATGTGATTGGCCATTTGTAAAAATATGTCAAACCGGTTTGGGAAATAAACATTGCTGTAAGCTAATTATAGCCTGTATTAAAATATTCTATTAAAGTCAATACATGCTTGGGCATGTATTACTAACATGTCCTGCAAAACTGATTAATATATTTATCTCCTGAGAAATTCGATACCTTTTTCACCTGTAGGAGTATTAATATTCATGCTTGGTTGAGTTTAATAGAATATTTTAATACAGGCTATAATTAGCTCACAGTAGTGTTTATTTCCCAAACAGGTTTTTCTTAAACAGGTTGTTTACAAATGGCCAATCACATCCAAGGTCCAAATTCTGAACCTAGTCAAGTTTGGAAGTAGGATTTGCAATCGATGTGACCAGAGGCTCTCCGTTCTTGCCTCTTGTTTCTTTCACCTTGCAAAGAGCCTCTAGAACCAGGGTACACTTAAAAATAACACACAGGCAGACCAATTGCTGCAATTGAACTAAGTACCAATCAATATAAGTCCCTGCCTGCTCGAATCTAGGAAGTGTGGGGTTCATGTCACTGAGACAAAACCAGATATTCATACAATCCAACACTTTTGATTATGCAGTGCTGAAAAGTAAAAACTACCAACTCCTGGGTTGGGGGAGGTGGTAATTTACATTGACTGGTATTGTACACTAAATAGATATGGGGTGCCATTGATCAGAATCATCAGATGAACAGCTGCCAGTTCCGATGTCTCAGGACTGCTGTGATTCAAACATTTTCTGGAGATTATGAGTACTATTTTAACTTTGCTACACACTCATATTTTGGAACAATTTCCAAGGACAAACTGACTATAAAGATCTGTATAAAATATAAATCTTACTTTAAAATTTCCATCATAGAAAATGCAATTCACCTGCCTGCAAAAAGGTTAATCCACTTGGAACGTTTTCCGTGGTTGTGGACATTCATTCCACATCGAATGCATCCTGTCCAACATCAGCGATTGCCCAGTTTGTCAAGCAACAACGTTGGCAAATGTTGAAGCTCTTGGAAGGCCTTGGAAAGACAGCAAATATTACGGCACCTATTGTTTTAATTTAGTATTTACACGCTTTGCAGAGGACGAAAGCGACGAAGAAAGTGAGGCAGCCGATGACGATGAACCAGAAGACGAACAGAACGAAACCCTCGTGAACAGTTTGTTAGCAAAAATAAGCATTTCGCGAAGGTCTGACAATCGCCATTTTGCCAACCGGATATGTACAGTAATGAGTGTGTATGGGTCATGCGATACTGTCCTGGATCGTTGTGACGCATTTCCGATGCGAGATGAGATGATATAGGTAATATTTAAAAATATTTCGGCTGTGGTGTGGGGAAAATAAGTTTAAACTGCCAAATCTACCAATTTTTTTATGTGTGTGTTAAGATAGTGCAAGTGAGAGTATACTATTTTACGCGCGTTAAAACAGTGTTATTCAAACATAAATATTTCGCGTTCTAGATCGAATTTTAAAAATCCCCCCGAGGAAATTAAAGAAGAAAGCATGCTTTAGCAGAATTTGTCAGTTTTGGCGAAAAAAGTTTAATATCGAATGTCACCGAGGGCGTAGAACAAGGTGTTATTTTCTCACTCCTTTTGTTTACATGTTTCGAATTTCAGGCATTCTGATTGGTCAAGAACGCAAAATGTAAACAAACGCGCTGATTGGCTAACATTATTTACCCTTGTTGACCCAATGACCAATGTAATTATTAACATAACTGAATATTCGTTCGCTAACGTCGAGTTGTGCATGTTAACTATTAACACAGTACTAAAATGCGGTAGGCCCTACAAGTAAAGTTATATTTAGTACGCTACATTCTTCAAGACTGTCAGCCGCCAGTTGGTCCGTACGCTAGGATTAAACTGCCTTTAAAACGTTCAAAATAAAATATTTTGGGGCTTTTGGGCTCAAAATACTATCAAAATGAAGAGAGAAGTAAGACGAATCCACTGGTATACGGCCGAAAAAGAGAAAACAAATGATACCAAAGTTATCAACAATACAATTTCGCTTGGCTTTCAAATAGAAAGCCATAAATCGCTAGAATACCGTTGTTTAGTATTTAAATACATTTGACATCCGTATGAGCGATTTGTTAACAATACAATTTCGCTTGTCTTTCAAAGACAAAGGCCATAAATCGCTAGAATACTATTGTTTAGTAATACATTTGACATCCGTAATTAGTACAATTTCTTACCCTGAATCGAACGGTGATATTTTTATCGTTATATTTGCGCCATGAGGCATTACAAATATGTGAAGCCTTTGATATGTGAAGCCTTTTTGAACCAGGTTCACTTGTCTTTGGCGTTTGGACAATTCAGAGCACACTCATTGATTTCTTGTCATCCTTTTGTGGCGTACTTGCCATTGGATAACATCCATCATCTTCATCTAGATACAAAGTATTTAATATAGGATACACAACACCGCGGAAAAACGACTGCGCATGCACCAAATTATGAAAATATGGCGGGGAATTTGAATATCAATTTCTAAAACAAAAACATGCTTATTAATTGGTCAAAAATTAGTAAAACAAACGAGAAAATATAGCAAATGGGTAGACTAGACATTAATTGAAAGCGTTCTGGCATTTAAAGTATGGAATGAAATAGAATTCATGTAAAAAATTGTTGATTTTAACGGACACGACTTCGAAAATTTTTGCAAAATTATTCAAAACAAAAATTCAAACTCAAAAGTTAAGAAAACTCTCGAAAAGTTAAGCTTCTTAACCCACTCAAATTGTAGAATAAATCCTAAGTTTAATTATTGTGAACACGAAAATTTTTTATATTTGGCGACACAGTTTTTTTTAAAGAAATGTATCTCAAACGAAAATTCGGAAATTGTCGTTGCTTAGTTGATAAACAAAATGTTTCAGACGATAAATTTGTCAACAATCACCTTTAGTTCATGTTCTTGTACAATACAACTTCTTGAACCTTCCGGCTGTATTTATTCCTAGTTTTTAGAATGACATGTTTATTTTTGCGCTCGAAATCTGGCTGTAAAGACGCACAATGAAGTCACTCCTTTGTACCGCCATTTTGAGCCTTCGGAAACGTTCGGAACAGCTTCTCATCAAGTTCGCAATACTATTACAGGTAAGGTTGACGCATGCGCAGACGTTTTTCCGCGGTGTTTGGGGGAGCAACCTTTGGAATGTTGTTAATATTTCGCTCTTTCCGAACTTTCTTGAATTGAATCTCTAGTCTGTATTCATTTACAAGCATAACGAACCAGAAAAGTGTTAAAAATTCAGTATAATATGTATATAATCATATTTTACAACTGTAGCAGTGAGTTCAAAATGTAAACAAAGCGTTTGTTTACATTACGGACTTTACATCACCTTAAAGGATAAGTGTCACACCACAATACTGGCGGCCATTTTATATCAATCCGTCGTATATTTAAGCCATCCTTTGTGAATCCTTGCTGCTTTTATATAATTCTTACTGGCAATGTACCAAATATGGTATTTTAAACTTTATTTGTTGATTTTGGGAGAGATAAAAACAATAACAAAGCCATGATACTATGACGTATACTGTCGCTATACAGATATGTAAAACATGCCGTCAATAACTTAGCTGTGTAACTTCTACACAGTCTACACTCATGATAGCGCGAAATATGTGTATAATTCTTATAATATTGCGTGACCGAATCATTGCGTCTGCGATAGAGAATCAGGAAATAATTGTAAAGCTTTTACGCTCTTGCAGTTTGGTTTCTATTTCATTGTTAAAGCGGTTGGTTTGAAAGTGTATAGATCTAAAATTACAACTGTGTTTATATTAAAAGCATCTCTACTTGTTGTACTCATAATAAATATCGATGCGTCAGCAATTTGCCAATCCTATATTTTTATCACTAGCTAATAAGTTTCCGAAAAGGTTCAATTCATTGTTTGAGCTGCGTATATTAGTCCAAAATTCTCTTAAGGTTACAGGATACCCTAGAACGTAAAAAATTGATTTTTTTTTTCTTTACATGTTCTTGTTGCTTTTGAGCATATCTGTCGTCTGGGAAAATATGTAAATCAGTAACTTTAAAATTAAACAGGTTACTTGGTAAAACGCAATTGAAGTCTATATGTTTGGCGGGAACTATATGTTTGACAGAAAATCGACACCTTGTGCAATTCAATTAGTGTATATGTCATCTCGTATCCGTTATCACAACATGCGGTTGTAGACGCACATTTCTCTTGCACTGAAATCTTTGCTGAATAGAAGCGAATAAAAGCTGATTCTGGCAAAAGCAATAAAACCCCTTTTTGCGGCCGTCGGAAGAAACTCAAACCCAAGACCAACAATTTGTTCACAGAGGAGAGAAAGAAATCACTGGCAGAAAGTGACCTTAAAAGTTAAAACCATTCTGTAGAGATGAATCAATGCCCATAAAGGCCATAATTTAGAACAGTTTGCCTAATATTTACTAGCATAATAATAGAATATAATATGTAAGTATATTTACATGAGTATGTTTATCATAATATAACAATGCCTTTTAAAACATATATATTTTAAATTAAACCTAATTATTATAGTCATATTAGACTAACACTATAATAGTCTACACACAACTTCGGGATCTTCAAAGCTTCACAAAATATGTCCAGCTCAATATTGTAAGCATCTTAGGAGCAGAATAAAAACATTGATTTGGGGACTTATCATTTTTGCCATATTTACTAATTTAGCCACAAGTGCATGACTAACCGGAAAACTGGAAAAGCTTTATTAGAATTAGCCCTTTCGTTCTCTGCGCGGCTTTTATAGTGACCTTTGGCTTTGCGTACCGAATATCAAACTCGCTTCTCTTTCTCTCCTTTTACATCACCGCGATATCGGTCAGGAAATTTAGTACTTCGACAGGATATCCATAAGCCGCATCCTTGGGACCGATTCCCTGTTTCTATAAATGAACGAAAATTTAATGACATTTTACAATAAAGCCTTTTATTTCCAAAAACAATACGATGCGCGGCGTACTAAAAACGCAAATTGTGCAAAAATCCAGCGAACCAGGTGCAATTATGTATATAACTCAGTGATTGTAAAGTTACGATCAGCGCGTGTGCCTATCCACAATAAAAAAATACCGTACAATTCTAGGAGGTTTACCACGCTTCTTTAGCCAATCTTCAACACCATGAGCCTCAATATTCTTGATAAAGTTTGCTCCATCGTAACTGCATGAAGAGAGAGAACAAATGCATGGCTTTCTATAACGTCAACTAGCAAAATATCGTTGGATCAAAATGCGATAAACTAAGTTTCCTTACCCTTTAAGACTTTATCTTTCATCGTTGCCATTAGTTTTTCTTTGTGGTCCACATCGCCATCAGCTGAACTCTATCGTTCTGCATTTTTGCCGCTTTTGAGATTCTGCGCTTATATTTGTGGCGCGTTGGTTTGTCTTCCTTTTCGTTTAGGCATGACTTGATTATATATTGTGGTCTTGCCGCAAACGTTATCTGTCATCGGATTAACTTTATAATGACAGTACGTCACAGTAGGCGCAGTACCTGATTACACTGAAAGAAAACCCGCGAAATTTTCAAAGCGCTTTTTGAGGCACTTGAATTTTGAGTCGAATATACGCACTAAATAAAGTTTGTTAAGCGTGCGTTTTAACCGATTTTTGTCAAATTTCCACACAGCATAGGTACATATTTCAGCTACAAAACGGTGTGCGCGCGAGTTTTTTATTCAAATAATAAGCAAGTTACAAGCTTTTTGTTGTCAATTAGTTGCAATATAGCATATGTCTGGAATGAATATGCCGTAACTCATGAACCCCTATAGCAACGACAAAACGCGAACACCGTTTTTTAGAACAACCTTTGAGAAGAGTAAAATTGATATTTTTATAGGATTTGAGTAAAACCGGCGTCTAACTAACTTCACGGCGCAGAAGTACCGCGTTTTTAGACTTCGGCAAATATCTGAATAAGTATTTATTCTTTCGTACATATGATAAGAACATCTTATACTACATTTATCTAACTACATTTGGTGAAAATTTGATGGAATTTGGATTAAAATTGATCGAGTTACAGCGGATCTCCCGAAAGGCATGTCTAGGGTATCCTGTAACCTTAAAATTAGCATATTCCCCGAGCTGGCGGCGCGAAGCGCTGTGCGAGGGTACTAATTCCCCCCGGCTATTTACACCCGGGGAAACGAAAGCATTAGCCAAGTCTAAAGTTCATCAAATATCGCGGGCGTGACCAACGAACCTTGAGTGGGTGGTCATCCTCACTGATCTCAAAAATATGGCGGACTGTCATGGATAGCGAACACTGATTGGTCAAATTTAAAATTTGTTGTTGTATGACAAATGACGACTTCAACTGACAGATACTTCATGAAAATAATTTGCTTTTTACACTACAGTATTTTGTACGTTTGCAAAAAACTTTGACAGCTTTCAAAGCAATTTGTTCTATAAAAAGTTTAATAAAACAATTACGGTATTAAATACCAATTGAAAAGATATGGAGCCAAATGAAGAGAGGCTAGGAATGACAAGAAAGCCGAACGTCTAGCGAAAAGGAGGGAGCGAAGACGACAACGTTTGCTCGAGGAGACTGCTGAGGAAAAAGAAGCTCGCCTGGGAAAGCGTAAAGAAGCATGGAAAAAAAAGACTGCTGAAGCGAAAGATGATATTCGACCCTATATATTCGACTATTTCTTCACAATTTTCCAATAAAGAGTTTGTCATGACACGCTCAAGTCAGTTTAACCAGAATGTATTTTATTTATATCAGTTATCACAGCCACAGGCAATTTTATGCTGCCAAATACCGTCGGTTGCAACTAAAGGTGAACAGTTGCAGATAAAACATTCTCTATTCTCATTAAAAAGCCTGTAAAGGTTTCCAGCAGGTCTCTGGCCCAACTCGTTCAGACCACACAAAGTTTTTTTTACTTATTATTGTACACATGGGAAACAACAATTAAGTGTTGTTGTCATAGAATAAGGTTGTTGTTCTTGACAAACATTGGAGATTCTAATCACGCGAATGTTTTTATGAGCGACTGTTCATCGTTAGGTGCAAGCGACGGTACAACATACTATGAACATTTTTCCGACTGTAACCGAATGTGCAACGATATATTTTTCAAAGTTGTTATCAATTCCTAAAATTTGTTTATAGTAAAACGGCCTGCTCAGCACTCACTACTCACGATGATTTCATTTAGAAATGCAGTTATACCAGGAAAGGAACTGATTCTAAAATATGTAAATTTAAAAGCATTGGCTAACAGAATAAAGCGATGTGAAGACAAGGTATAAACTTTTATAGTTGCTATTTGTTATAAAATCCTATAAATAAACCGATTCAACAATAATTTTGCCTCCAATTTGCATATTCTATGCTGCATGTTTATATTTTATTTTTATAGTATAAAAATAAAATTGTAATACTATGAAATAAAATACATTTCTGTTTATTGACCAGTACTGTACTTATTTAATGTCTTCTTCATCCAGTGGTCAGAGTAAATTTCTACTTCTAGCAAGTAAATATTTGACAAGCAGTCTGAAATAAGCACAGGACTTTTATAATGCATCAGCCAAATCCAAGTGTGCCCATCCCCCTCGCCCAGCCATTTTCCTGTAAAGCACATCCCGGGGGTTGGGCATTTCCACTCAAACCTTAGGCCTTAGCCCCGGCGGGGCATTTGAAATTAATAATTTGGATTCTTGCACTTCACTTGTGGAATTAATATTAGAATGGTAGGGTTTGTAATCCAAGTGAGAATATATACATGTCTATATTTTGTAATCCAAGTGAGAATATTTTGTAATCCTAGTGAGAATATACAAATGTATAGTACATGTATATATATTTTGGGTATATATTTTGTAATCCAAATGAGAATAGTTTGTAATCCATGTGAGAATATACAAATGTATATATTCTCACTTGCATTACAAACCCTAACATTCTAATTTTAATTCCACCAAGTGAAGTGCAAGAATCCAAATTATTGAAGTCCACCTTATCACAACCCGCACACCCAATTACCTAAATATACGTGAACTTACGGTTAAAGCTCAACAGCTGGTCTCTGTAGCTCAGTTGGTTAGAGCGCTGCACCGGAATCGCAGGGCCGTAGGTTCAATTCCTACCAGAGGACCTTGTGCTGCATTTTTCGCAGTCGTTCCTGGTTAGGTCTTAAAATGTATATATTCTCACTTGGATTACAAACCCTAACATTCTAATATTAAGTCCACCAAGTGAAGTGCAAGAATTCAAATTGTTGAAGTCCACATTATCATAACCCGCACACCCGATTACCTAAATATACATGAACTTACGGTTAAAGCTCAACAGCTGGCCTCTGTAGCTCAGTTGGTTAGAGCGCTGCACCGGAATCGCAGGGCCGTAGGTTCAATTCCTACCAGAGGACCTTGTGCTGCATTTTTCGCAGTCGTTCCTAGTTAGGTCTTAAAATGTATATATTCTCACTTGGATTACAAACCCTAACATTCTAACATTTGAAATTAAGTATTTGGAGGTTTTGCGATCACTGATAACTTGATAATAATATAAAACAAAACACTTCTATCTGCTACTTTTACAATCACTGATAACTTGATAATATTTAAACCAGTCAAGTTGTAGTTTAAATAGAGAATAATGCATGGGTGCACGAAATACCAGATTTATTTCGAGTGTTGAACATGAGTGTGCAGCGAACAAGTGAGCGCAGCGAACGAGTGAGATATGTCATGTTCAACACGAAAAATAAATCTGGTATTTCCAACCACCCATGTATTTTTCTGTTTATTATATAAAGGACAGTCTTAAATGAAAAGGCTTAAGCGATAATTTTTACAGAAAAGCGATAATTGAAAAGGCGATAATTTTCACATGTGAGATTATCATGAATAATTTCACATGTGAGATTATCATTTTTATCAGTGCTCGAAATCTCTGTAAAACACTATCTTTATTTAACATGCGATCACTCAGTGAACAAATAGCAAGAGCATATAGAGTAATAGCACATGACCTAAACACGGCAGTTCTATTGGAGGGTATAGCTCTGTTGGAGAGGATGCACGCTACGTTTAGCAAGGCTGCAACCACGAACTGAAGTCAATTTGGCTGTCAAGTAGGTACTCAAGCTACCGACCAACGACTATCCCGGCTTGGCAAATCCCAATGATGCCGAGAATTCACCTCTCCAAAGACAGAACTATTGTCACACAAAGTGGAAACCGGAATACAAAAACGAACAAAAAACACACAAATACTTACCCAAGGGACGGAACATACAACACCAAACAATAAATAATACTCCCTGACAAAGCAAAGATAACAATATCATAGCTGAAAAGAATGAAAAGCTCTGCAACGCAGGACGTGACTACAAAAAAGCAGATTAGTGTTAAAACCAATTTGAGTAACAAGGGGATAATCATCCAGAATAGCTGGAGGTATGCCCGCGAGCGGGCGCGGCAAGCAAGCACAACGAAAAAATAAGCAACAGGACAACAATTGGCGTAATCGACAGCGCACCCCAAAAACACGAGACGTAACAACATAAAACGCAAGTATTACATAGACTACGAGAACAAAGAAAAGTGACTGAACACAATAAGCTACCCAGGGGTGCGCCTTGATTGTCGGCCAAAACAATACATTACAGTACTCCAATTAACCATACAGGCACTTCCGGTCAGCAGCGACCAGGAAACGCTGATACTAATATTTACCCAGACCTCCGCTGGTTTGCATTAACTGAAAGCATAAAATGTAAAGCAACCCATAGAAGCCAACATAAGCAGTACAGATACAGGCACCTCTGGTCAGCAGCGACCAGGAAACGCTGATACTAATATTTTTTACCCACACTGCCGCTGGTTTGCAATAACTGAAAGCATAGAATGTAACAGGCAGACACTCCCAGCAAGCGGGTTAGCACCAGCAGCACCCCCCAAGAAAACCGGTGCGAACAAGCAATGACCTCCCAAAAAAAAGGGGGAGGGTGGGTGGGGACGTTGTGAACTTGAAGGTCTGCAAGCAATGAGCTATACCTGTGAGCTCCACGGCTTAAATAATCTCGGTAAACCTGCATAATAACTAATATGAATATATAATTAATATATACATAAACAACACGCACACATTCGTTCTCGAAGTTAATTATTTTTATTGCATAAAATCATTTAACATGCGATCACTCAGTGAACAAATAGCAAGAGCATATAGAGTAATAGCACATGACCTAAACACGGCAGATCTATTGGAGGGTATAGCTCTGTTGGAGAGGATGCACGCTACGTTTAGCAAGGCTGCAACCACGAACTGAAGTCAATTTGGCTGTCAAGTAGGTACTCAAGCTACCGACCAACGACTATCCCGGCTTGGCAAATCCCAATGATGCCGAGAATTCACCTCTCCAACGCCATCCTCCAGCGCAGCTGGAGAAGGGATTCGAGGCACGAACCCCCTCCAAAGGCGTTCCCAACCCCCAAGCGTAACTCAGACTAACCGTCCGGGATCCCACGAAACACGTAATTGAGGAAGCTAGGCGGAAACCCGATGAGTACCCTGCCGAAATTCGGTGAGGACGAGTGGAGTAACGGCCGCCACAGGGGTATTAACCCCTACAGGTACTTGAGCTAAAGAAATAACGGGCAATAAGCTGCAAAACCAATGGTATAATACAAACAAAGTTAACGTAAATACAAACATTACCGCTAAGTAGCACGCCAAGTACCTTAGTACCATGTCAATAAAGAAGTACATAGCAACACAGCAAAAATAGACGGTAATAGTAACACACCAAAAGTGGAACCTGCCCCGACATACCTGACGTCTCCCACAAACCTGCACGTTGCAGCCCCATAAGCTGACTGTTAGCGGCAGCTGGCGTGGTTAATGGCAAGCCAGAGCTCTGCGTAAGGCCTAAAGCCTGCTAATGAACGGGATTCGGGAGCGCCTGCGGAAGGATGGGATTTACTAGCCCCTGCTCAGTGGTAGAAGGGAGTCAAGGGCGGCTGTAGGATAGGATTGAGCGTCGCCTGCTGGAGGATGGAATTTAGCGGCGCCTGCTGATGGATGGGATGTAATGACTGAGCCGTACTAAAAGGGACTGGGCCAAGGTGACAAGATGGCGGCCAGAAAAACAAGGACGAAGGAGACACGTATGAAAACATTGGTTGTGACGCTTGTGGTAGCAATGTAGGTCGATGCTGTAAGCTGGAAACCGGCCAGGGGGGGATGAGGCAGGTATAGAGGCAGGAATAGAGGTGGGAAAGCAGTGGCATTGAACGATGGAATCGGCGACAAAAAGCTATTGCTGATAGGCACCGCAGCAGACGCGTAGACAACGAACCGAAGAGCCAGCGAGGGAACACTGTGAGGCAGGAACGACCAAGGGAGCGGGAAAACAAACTGTCGAGCACAACGAAGCTTCGACCACTGAAATCAAAGCAGTAGAGGAACTTGGGGAAAAATAACCAAGTCGACATAAGACAATGCTCTCCGAAGAATGACCAACGGTGGACCGAAACGAAACAGCCATCAACAACGAAGTACCCAACGAATTTGTTGAACCTAGACTAAACCAGCTAAGCTATTAATTTGTTAATCTCGGCATTGTAAAGGAGAGACAACGTTGTGAACTTGAAGGTCTGCAAGCAATGAGCTATACCTGTGAGCTCCACGGCTTAAATAATCTCGGTAAACCTGCATAATAACTAATATGAATATAATTAATATATACATAAACAACACGCACACATTCGTTCTCGAAGTTAATTATTTTTATTGCATAAAATTATTTATTTACACACGTAGGCTACTGTCGCACAATGGACTTCAATAATTTGGATTACCGCACAATGGACTTCAATAATGGACTTCAATAATTTGGATTACTGCACTTCACTTGGTGGAATTAATATTAGAATGTTAGGGTTTGTAATCCAAGTGAGAATATATACATTTTAAGACCTATAACCAGGAACGACTGCGAAAAATGCAGCGCAAGGTCCTCTGGTAGGAATTGAACCTACGGCCCTGCGAGATGAACTACGGTTACAGCTCAACAGCTGGCCTCTGTAGCTCAGTTGGTCAGAGCGCTGCACCGGAATCGCAGGGCCGTAGGTTCAATTCCTACCAGAGGACCTTACGCTGCATTTTTCGCAGTCGTTCCTGGTTATGTCTTAAAATGTATATATTCTCACTTGGATTACAAACCCATCTGTTTAAAAATGTATTCCGAAAATGGATTGTTCAAACTCTGCCCGGACTTAATTAATTATAGAATTTACTTTTAGAGTATATCTATATACGCTTAAATGCACCTGCATGCAGGCATATCTCCAAGCAACGACTCTGGCATTGAAAACTGATAGTAAATATAAAAAACTATTGTATACCTTCACCTTCCCAAGACTCCGTAGCATAACCACCGAAGATGAAGTTACCAACTTTTATTATCGTCACGGTTGGTTTCTTGTAATCACAGTTTCCATGAAAGGTCCTGGCTGCCCATCCATGCTTAGTTGCACGCCAACACAGCGTCCAATTAGTGCTTTGTGTGTTTCCGGTCCATGAAGTTAATCTTGTCAGAAAGTCAGCTGGTTCTCCAGATAATATGGCGGAATCAGAAAGTGTCGGGACTAAATGAAAATAAGAAACATGATGAAATTCTGGTCAATACATTTTTTATCCATTGTATTTTAATGCATTATATCCAAGACATTAAAAAAATGTAAAAATTAAGTCCCAAAAAATTTCAAGTCAGCTCTAAAAAACAAAATTGTTGCAAGATCCTCGTGAGTTTTCATCCTTAATTCCGACTCATGAAATTTTGAGTGTTTTTCCAAACTGGACTCAAGTTCGTACCCTTATCTGTCTATACATAGATAAAGAATCCAACACACCTCGGCAGCAAAATAATAAATTATTTAAGGCGAAGTAATACAGGAAACAAAATTGCTGCACTTGCAACAAAAGTTGTATTCAACGAATGCTATAATTGCGAACATGCGTAAATACTTTTAGCATGGCTTGATATGAGTTCTTGTTGCAGCAACTTTGGATTCTCATTCTATTTCATCTTTATCTTGCACAGTAATCTTTTTCTTTAACAACTCACCAATTTGGCAGAGATTTCCACTGAATCCTTTTAGACACTCACACCTGTAAGGATCAGAATCAGGTCCATCTTTAAGATATATGATCGTCTTTCCCCCATTTTTACAATTCTTCATTTTATGACATGGAACCTGTGAAGGCAATGTGTTAGAATTCAGCTCACAATAAACTAAGAGGAACTCAGCTTAAGCTGAAATAACACTGAATAACATCACAAGTTAACTATAATAATTGGTCCTATATTTTTAAATGAGACTACGAGTTTTAAATTATAATATATACTGCAGAGGATGTCCTTAAAATATAGCTAACTTTTTTCATTAAAAATATTTTCGGAACTATGGGCTAAAATGATGCAATAGTGTATCAAAAGTTTTCAATTTTCTCATAAATGTAATCGAGTCCAAAGGACGTGTTCAAATTGGACTCGAAACCTTTCTATATATAGGCCGATTTTACACTACACAACTTTTGCCTAAAACTGTCGCATGTAATCTGCTTACAACTTTAGTTGAGATTTTTGTAATTATTTCGTATTTGCGTACATTTAGGGAAATTACTGAATTCCTTACGGAAATTACCGGACGCCTACGTCGTCACTCGCATGCTGTATGTTCGAAATTTTTGTAATTATTTCGTATTTGCGTACATTTTGGGAAATTACCGAACTCCTTAAGGAAATTACCGGGCGCACAACATTCGTATACAACTATAAATTATTAAATTTTATGACAAAAGCTCTATAATGTAAACAAGTTTCAACTAAAATAACCTATACTTAAAGGGTTTCAGAATTCAGCAGCATATATCTTGTTGCCTTTTGTATATTTTTCTTCTCTTTATACATTCTTTATTTTAACACAAACTTGGAAAAGAGTAGTTTCTAAACTTGCATGCGAGTTCTGCCAAATTTTTTTTAATTATAATTCATATATATATAATATATATATATATATATATATATATATATATATATATATATATATATATATATATATATATATATATATATATATATATATATATATATATATATATATATATATATATATATATATATATATATATATATATATATATATATATATATATAAGATTAGAAGACAAACTTGAATTACTTCATATGAACTTTATTTCACTACAAATTTGTTTCGTATGACAAGACGAGTCTTGCCACACTCATCAGGTGAATTTAAATAACGTTATTTAAATTCACCTGATGAGTGTGGCAAGACTCTTCTTGTCATACGAAACAAATTTGTAGTGAAATAAAGTTCATATGAAGTAATTCAAGTTTGTCTTCTAATCTTATCAGCGGCTACTACGGTATTGAGCACTCTACTCATATATGATTCCAAACTCGATACTTGTGTGTGTATATATATATATATATATATATATATATATATATATATATATATATATATATATATATATATATATATATATATATATATATATATATTTATATCACACTTTCGTCCGTTTTCTTTGTTCGTTCGAGGTTTATAACTAGCTTATATACCTTGAATAAATGATTAGATTAAACTTGTAGACAAAACGCGAGAATTTTTCATTAAAAATTTTTGAAAATGACAAAATATGTTGGAAAACCTCCGCAAGTGTGATATAAGTTAGTTATAAACCTGGAAAGTCGGTTTATAACTGATATATTGCCCCTCGGACGCTACGCGTCCTCGGGTCAATATATCAGTTATAAACCTCCTACTCGGTTTATAACTCGTACATATATATATATATATATATATATATATACATATATATATATATATATATATATATATATATATATATATATATATATATATATATATATATATATATATATATATATATATATATAATTGTGAAGATCGCAACATTCTCATGCATCTTTTTCACTATAGTTGCTTGGGCACAAATAAGCTAATTCAGCGTATATAAATTAATAAGTTAATTCAGGCAAAGTTTATTAAGTATATATTTTACTGCAGTTTCGTACCTTTCTTGGAGCAACGGGTTGATAAAATATCCAGCCTTTGTCATCAGCGTTGCAATGATGAAAGTTGTGATCCAGCGTGTGTGTTAACTGGCAGTTTGGAGTCTTTCTCTGCGGCTTTTTCTTAAAATTGTATCCAGCACAGAATGGATATTGCAAACACTTCATGGCACAATGATTCTTGAAATCATAGGTCGCTTCAGACAAAATATTTTCTATCAAAGGGCAAACATCTACAACGACGAAAAATGATTTATTAGGCAAATAAAAACGTTTATAGATAACTAAAATTGCTGCAGAAATGACATGGAACCATTAAAAAACTGATATATAAAAACAGCTCTATAAATTAGAAGCAAATACATGCAAGGACTTCCCTTGATTAATCTTACCTTCATACACCATGCGAAAAGGAATCGCCAGGTTTGTGTAATCCTCAGGCATGCAGTATTCTTGTTTCATTGTAACTGCAAGTGGCAACGAGATCAGGAACAGAAATCTCGCAAACACGAGCGCTGTTCGAAGAAAGCGTTTCATTTTGTTCAATTTGTTGTTAGGCTATGAGAGAACAAAAACTCAGGTTAACAAACGTTTTGGTTGTTTTGTGAGCGTCGACTTGCAGCTGAACTAGAGTGGCAAATTTTATAGGACGTGTTTTATGGCATGAGTACTCACACAATTATATAGGCCTATTAAATATACATTGCAAAACTGACAAGGACTTAACGACTGCGTTGTCTGCAAAAGCTGAACTGTGCGCTATGGTACGTAGTTATAAGCCCATTAAACATGTTTACGTTGCAAAACTAACAGTGACATTAAAAACGCGCGTTGCTCTTGGCAATAGGGAGTTTACGATGTAAGATGGCGACGTACGTCAGGACGAAGGCTATCAATTAATACAATGACATTAATCCCTATAACACAAAGAAATGAATAATTAAAAGTATAGCAGGAAATTCAGACATCGTCTAGGCTCTGTTGACGACAGCAAACTACATAATTATTTTCACGACTAGCAGAGTTGATCAAAATTGCTCTGAAGAATAAATCTCCGCTTTGCTAGTTCTAAACTGTATTAAAAGTAAATACAAGACAATATTTCCATACAATCATTTATTTCAAACAGTTTGTTTAGCCGTCGTCCCGCATGACGCCGGTTTTCCATTTACGGTTTTCCATTTTGGTTATTTGAGCGTCTTAGTCAAATTGCAAAGTGTCTCTTTAAATTTTCTGTCAAACTTTCACGTGTTTACGGGCGGAGGGATTGTCTTCTGGAACAAATTTAAACGCAAATATAAAATTTACACCAATAGCATCCTATTTCATAAATGGTGCTCAGCCCAGTCTCAGACAGGCTGGAACAGCATAGCAGAGACGGTGTGCGGCGGAGTTCGACCCACACAAACGAAGGAGCGGGAAGTCTGCGTGGCCGTTCTCTTCCGCACAGGCCCTTTTAAAGCAAGAAGCGAGCACTATGGCCAAACTCGGTATTGATAAGCATCCAGCAGTGTAATGCATTAATTACTTTATTATCGTTAATTTACATGGTTTTACAATTTATAACGTTCATGGGTTATTTTCGCATATTCAATCTTCGCATATCATTAAGAGCACTATGAATAGTACCAGGGACGCCGGAACTGGGGGGCAGGAGGGGCAGCCGCCCCTGTTGCCCTTTACCAGGAGGGGCAAGGGGGGCAAAGGTGCCCTTTCAATTTAAAGGAATGCCTTGACGAAATAGCGAATTGACAGAAATGTTAGTGCAATTCTTTTACGAATTTGCTTCAGAAAACGCAAGAAATGCAGTCATCGAACTTCAAGAATAGCACAATCGCCTGGCGGAGAACCCCCTCACACCCCTATCATACAATAAATAGAAAACATGATTAGGCGAAGTTCAACTCCCGATGTTTTTTGAAAGTGCCCTTTCATATATCAATTCAAAAGTGCCCTTTCACGAAAATCTGCCCCCCTTGCCTTCACATCGTTCCGGCGTCCCTGAATAATACCCTATTTCATAATGCTCTACTCTTTGCTCAGCTAAAATAATAAATGAGTAAATGGTGCTCAGCCCATGCTCATTTGTTGTCTGTTATTATGAATCCTCCTTTCGTGCCATCCCTACCTCATCTCCATCATTTCCCAAACCTCATTAAACCCCATGCAAGCCTCATTAATTAAATTAATCCACAATTCCAATCATTACCAAAAAAATTCGTCATTTTCCCAACCTCAATTTTTCCCAAACCTCATCATGTCCCAAACCTTATTGTATAAGACCCATTAGGGTGTTACGCGATTTGGTCTAGGGGTTACAATTAAGGTAACTAACCGAGGCCGCTTGGACACGTTCTCGGGAGGGAAAGCACCGACAAACTGTGTCAGCTTGTTCATGTCCTACCACCCATGAGAAGGGTCAACTCTCAGAGGGATGACCATTTTGGCGGATGACCCCGATGGAACGAACACCTTAGCAAGTTGCATATAGTATAGAGTGCCGTGTGAGGCCGCCATACTAAAATAAATACAAAGCTGAAATAGTGCCACATCCCGACCGAAAACCGTGTAGCGGTCCCCCTCATCGGCTGGCATCTCACGTAAATAGGTCGTTGAACGGGCTTCGGCAGCGGGCAGCTGCAGAAGTGAGGGGGCAATCGTGGACACCACGATAAAAATTCGGAACCACAAGTTAAGTCGATGTTAAGTTGACGTCCTCCCCTGCCTAACAAGTTGCAGAGTTGCACGCAGGTGATCATTGGCTGCCATCCCTCCGCCAACCTGAAGGGGCTCGCCGTGGACATTCACCCAATGTCTCTCAATGGGCTTAACGACATCCCGAACAGCAGAATCGAAAAAACTACATTTCGCTCACGACCAAAGAACATCAGACAAAAATATGTAAGGAAAGATATACTCAGGCAACGAAAACAAAGCAAGCCACTTGGTCAGCGGAGGAAGGACAGCTTCGACCCAGTTAGACTGAGAATTGATTTAGATACCCCTTTTTTATCAAAGCCCTCCAACGACCAAATAAGGCAACAAGAAGAACATTGGAAAGAAAAAACGACAATATACTATAACAAGCGTTTATTGACTCGTATAATTGGCGATACTTAATAGAGTAGATAATCTATGTAAATTGGTTGGTTACAAAGTTATCCTCCACAACTTATCTGCAAGTCAGCTTACTACCATATTAGGAATATTTCAAGAATTAAGAAGTATTTACCTCGAAATTGCTTAGAAATAATTATTCATGCATTTATAACTTCAAGACTGGATTATTGTAACTCCCTGTTGTATGGTGTACCCAAATATTTGCTTCAGAAGCTTCAGAGAGTCCAAAATACTGCAGCTCGTTTACTAACTGATACTAAGAAATCGGCGCATATCAC